CCTCTCGCTCCTGCCTTTTCCTCTCTCCAACTCCACAGCAGTGCAGGGAAAAGAAATACCAATAGTGTAATACTGCTAATAAACTGTGTTATATCAAAGAACCGTTTGTCAGACCACTCACATTTCTCATGATCATGAACAGCGTTTATTGCTTTTGCCACAGAATCACAGGTTCCACAGTTTGAAGCCGAGACCTCACAGCCTGATCCAACAGCAGGATGACAGGATACAGGATACCATTCAATATTGAACCAAGATGGCCGCTTGGAACGCACCACTCAGCGTGTGTTCCACTCACCGGAAATGACGCGGGACGTACGGACAGCCAACCAGAAGTGTGTTGACGCGTTTCGCCCCCCACCCACAGGGCGTTCTCAAGACGGTCTTGTGGCCATGGAGGTGATTAGAACAAGTGAATCCTGTAATTTGGAAGGATGGCCTAATACTTTTTGCCAATATAGTGTCTCCATTTCTAGTCAGTGAGGCAACAGTAACTCAAATAACCACTTGTTACAACCAAGGTATGCAGAATACCATCTCTGAATGCACAACACATTGAACCTTGAAGCAGATGGGCTACAGCAGCAGAAGACAACACCGGGTGCCACTCCTGTCAGCTAAGAACAGGAAATGGGGGCTACAATTCGCACAGGCTCACCAAAATGGAACAAAAGAAGATTGGAAAAATGTTGCCTGGTCTGATCAGACTCGATTTAAGCTGCAACATTCAGATGGTAGAGTCAGAATTTGGTGTTAACAACATGAAATCATGGATCCATCCTGCCTGTATCAATGGTTCAAGCTGGTGGTGGTGGTGTAATGGTGTGGCGGTATTTTCTTGGCACACTTTGGGCCCTTTAGTCCTAATTGAGCAACATTTAAATGCCATGGGCTCCCTGATTAAAGTTGGTGACCGTGTCAATCCCTTTCTGATTACAGTGTCCTCATCTTCTGATGGCTACTTCCAGCAGGATAATGTCACAAAGCTCAAATAATCTCAAACTGGTTTCTAGAACATGACAATGAGATCCCTGTACTCCAATGGCCTCCACAGTCCCCAGATATCAATCCAATAGAGGATCTTTGGGATGTGGTGGAACGGGAGATTCACATCACTGATGTGCAGCCGACAAATCTACAGCAACTGCGTGATACTATCATGTCAATATGGAACAAAATCTCTGAGGAATGTTTCCAACACCTTGTTGATTCTATGCCACGAAGAATGAAGGCAGTTCTGAAGGCAAAAGGGGGTCCAACACGGTACTAGCAAGGTGGACCTAATAAAGTGGCCGGTGAGTGTATATCATGGACTTACCTCATTGCCAAGCTTCCATGTTATGGCTTTAGTATTCATTTGTAATTGCTGATCTTCTGGTGCCCAGGATGTAAAATTTCCCACATCATTATAAATCATAGTGTCATTATCCTTAAATACCCAATTTAGTATTTTGTAATGATAAACAAATTCTCCGTATTCATTAAAAAATGATCTTGGCTCGAGTAATCCAAATTCATATTTAATTTCTTTTAAAAGATGATACAACTTCTATTTGAATATAGAAAGATAAAACGTGTTAAGTAAAGAAAAGCAACAGGACAAAGGAAAATCAATATTTATATCCAGCCCTCAGTGTCCATCAGATTATCTCCTGATCTTGTAAGAAAATAATCAATATACTTAGTTGTCACAAACTGAGCATAGTGGAGTGAGCTGGACCCTACTCTGACTATGTCTGGGTTCCCTGAGGAGTGGAGTCTGAAGAACGGGCAATATTCACTAGGGACCCCTCACAGAGGTTTGGACTATTTCCTAAGGTTGCTTCCCCAGATACTAGCAGACTGAGGAGGAAGAAGCCATAGGACCACTAGCAGGGACCACTAGCAGAGACGATCAGAACACTAGAGAGAAAACTGAGATACTGGTGGACAGTCGTATATCATATTAGGGACAGATCAAGCAGTGTTTGCAGGGAGAGCTAGTTGCTGCTGTTGATTGCTGAAATCTTATACTGTATATTTACAGTAAGTCAAAGACACACCTAAAGGAATTCATAAAGAGTGTTTATGACACCAGACACCTTCTTATGGCTATAGAAACTGCCCGATGCCTGATATCAATCAAAAGTAGAAAGTGGACATGTGGGGGAACTAGTATCTCAGCGTCCCCATCATCCACTGTGGCATCATTTCATATCGTTGGCGTTCATTTCATATATGCGTTGGTCCAAGTAGAATCAAAAAATTTTACAGTTTTTTTTTAAAGATTGTTGTATATTAGTTTTCGATTGGATTCGTTATTCATATATGAATTTTTCAAAGCTAAGAATTGCATTAGACTGTGGAACTGAACTGACTGACTGACAATTACAAATGCAATTTAAATCCCAACTTTACTTGAATCTGAATTATAGAACAAATTTGAAAATTTAATTTTTTACCATCATTACAAATTTTTTTGGACTCATTGCCATCTGTTGCTATGTCTTTTCAGAGATTCAAATACATCTGAATCTCTGAAAATCAAACTTTTGTCCAAAAATTGATTTGTTACAAAACTAAACACACATGTCTAGTCGGCTGTAAAGTCAACAACATCATTAACAACCAGTGACAGGTAGAAGGGGAGGCAGTAGACGCAACAAATCTGCCACTCGGCTACACAGCAGAGGACAGAGACAGACACAAGTCTTATACACCTCCACTTTCATTATCTACAAACTGAAGGTAATTATTTTTTAATTTGGTACATTAATGGCACCACTTTGTAAAACTGTCATTATTAATACCTTCCTGAATCTTCTGCACATGTTGACAACACTATCAAAACAGAAGGCAGGGCTTTTTGAAGCAGCCACAGGTTATTTGAAAGGGTTGTACCTCCAAAAAAGTGCTGGTAGGCATTTGTTGAGTCCTGTAGCAAGTCTTGTGGGCTGGTATGATCCAGGAGAGGGGGGGGGGAGGGCACACATTTGTTCCCCACTCTTCTGGCCATCCAGACTGCTTGATCAGATTAAGGCTCTGATATGGATTTTTAAGGCGACTGCACAGTTTATTCGTGTTTTTTGGAGGGTTTTTTGCATGAAAAAATCTATACCAGATCCAAAGGGTGTGTTATGGATTTCCTGGGAAACCGCATACATTTGGTTCCTTTATTTTTTAGTGGGTAACCCCCTTAAAATTCCAGACTCAAAGTATGTTTCTTATGGCTTTTTTTAAAATAAAAAACATATTATACTTAACTGATTTATACAATTGCACAGAGCAGCCCCAATCCTCCTTTTCTTGGGCCCCTTGCTGCCACTCATGGCTCAGTCCCCGCCGAGTGTCCTCAGAGCAAGCCTCTTGCTCTGGGAACACTCATGCATGCTCACTCCAGAGCCAGCCCTGTAAGTCCATAAGACATACAGAGTGCATCTTGGCCCCACCGCCGGCTCCCTCCTCACTGGCTGTGATTGACAACAGCGGGAGCCAATGGCTCCCCCTGCTATGCCTGAGCCAATGAAGAGGGAAATAGCTAGGAGAGCAGCTGCTCTCATTTACATTGGTGGATTGAGATTGGGCTCAGGTAAGTATTGGGGGAAGGGGGGTGGGACGAGGGGGGAGCTGGACACTGAATGTTTCTACCTTCATCCATAAAATGCTTATAGGTAAAACACCTTCAACCTTTATAACCAGTTTATTTGCTGAAAAATGACATTTAATTTCTAGCATCCTTAAAAACAAAATAATAAAAAAAACACACTCCAAACAACAACAGAAACAACACCCGTCCAAAGCTCCCTCAAAATACATATCAGACACTTAGAGGGGTCTGTGAGCTGTTTAGAAAGAAAAGCTGGTACTGAAGTGTAATTTAAAATACTTTTGTAAATGTCAGTGATGCAGCTCATTCTGTACATCACAGAGATGCACCTCTTAACAGGCAGGATTAGGGCACCCCCAGGCATGTTATTTAAAGGAAATGGCCATTTTTTAATATTTCACTTTAAGCATTTAAATAAATTACAGCTTCTGGCTGAATGGAATTTTAAAGATTTATTTTTGTCTTGTTACATGTTCCCCAGTGCAGTGCCCACCTCCCATGCTATTTTGTATACACCCCTTTCCTACATTATAAGCCCATGAAAATGAGCATTTTTAATTTGTCAGATTTGGGTTTGACCATCTGAACTTCTTTAAAGCTCTCCGAACAACACTTAAACAGAAAGACACGCTCTCAACACTTTACATATATTCTACACTATACTGCCAAAAGTATTGGGATGCCTGACATTACACGCACATGAACTTTAATGCCATCCCAGTCTTAGTCCGTAGGGTTCAATATTGAGTTGGCCCCGCCCTTTGCAGCTATAACAGCTTCAACTCTTCTGGGAAGGCCGTCCACAAAGTTTAGGAGGGTGTCTATGGGAAGGTTTGACCATTCTTCCAGAATCGCATTTGTGAGGTCAAACACTGATGTTGCACAAGAAGGCCTGACTTTCAGTCTCCGCTCTAATTCATCCCAAAGGTATTGTGTCGGGTTGAGGTCAGGACTCTGTGCAGGCCAGTCAAGTTCCTCCACCCCAAACTCTCTTATCCATGTCTTTATGGACCTTGCTTTATGCCTGTGTTGGAACAGGAAGGGACTATCCCCAAACTGTTCCCATAAAGTTGGCACCATGAAATTGTCCAAAATGTTTTGGTATGCTGACACCTTAAGAGTTCCCTTCACTGGAAATGAGGGGCCAAGTCAACCCCTGAAAAACAACCTCACACCATTATCCCTCCTCCACTAAACTTACACTTGGCATAATTGCAATCAGGCAATTAACGTTCTCCTAGCAAGCGCCAAACCCAGACATGTCCTTAGGATTGCTAGACAGAGAAGCGTGATTGGTCACTCCAGAGAACACATCTCCACTGCTCTAGAGTCCAGTGGAAGCATACTTTGCACCACTGCATTCAAAGCTTTACACTGCAGTTGGTGATGTAAGGATTGGATGCAGCTTCTCGGCCATGGAAACCCATTCCATGAAGCTCTCTACGCACTGTTGTTGTGCTAATCTGAAGGCCACACCAAGATTGAAGGTCTTCAGCTTTTGACTCTGCAGACAGCTGGCAACTTCTGCGCACTTCAGCATGCGCTGACCCCTCTCTGTCATTTTTCATGGCCTACCACTTGGTGGCTGAGTTGCTGTTGTTCCCAGTTGCTTCCACTTTGTTATAATCCCACTAACAGTTGAGCGTGGAATATTTAGTAGCCAGGAAATGTCACGGATGGACTTATTGCACAGGTGGCAACCTATCACGGGACCATGCTTGAATGCACTGAGCTCCTGAGAGCGACCCATTCTTTCACCAATGTTTGTAGAAGCAGTCTGCATGCCTAGGGGCTTGATTTTATACACCTGTAGCCATGGAGGGAATTGGAACACCTAAATTCAATGATTTGGATCTTTTTGGCAATATAGTGTATATGTATAGGGTGTAGCTGAAAACACATTTTAGTGCCAGATCATACCAGTGCAATTTCAATCACACCTGAAATTGCATCTAATGAGTGTGAATGTCAGTGTCTTGACATGTGCGATTTGCTGCAGCGCAATTTCTAAAGTAGTTCTTGCATTACTTTTTCTGCAGTTTTGTTGCGATTTCACATACATAGAATATAATGGAAATTGCACTGCAAATTGCAAGAAATTGTTGAAAATCTTCACAAGTAGAAATAAAGTCTTCATAAATCGCCTCTGAAATCACTCTGAAATTGCACACAAATCTCACAATTTTAAATCGCAGCGGTGTGACTGATGACTGAGGGATTGAATATTTGAAATTTGACCATATTGCTTTTTTATTTTATACTTTTCCAAAAAAAAAAGAGAGTACTCTACCTTGTGCCTGTAAGGTTGTTTTGTACACAATGTTCCTTTATAGATCAGGTTCATATAATGCAGTACTTCAGCCATAGCTTTCACTGCATAATAAATTCGTGGAGAGAGTCCTTGATGCACAAAAGGAAATAAATTTGGAAACATTTCTTCTATTATACAATCAGTATAGTTAAGTGGACATGATATGGTACTATTTTCATTTTCTTTGTTTGCAGACATACACTTTGCAATTGATAAAATATGGATGTCTCTAAATGAATTAGTTAAGCTAAAAGTCTTGTCGATTCCATCAAAAAAATGTTCTTTATTTGGGATGAATAAAGGGTATAAATCCACAGCCAAGCTACCATTAAAGGCAGGTATTGGATTATCTCCAGAAAAGCTCAAATACCTCAGAGGAGGAAAGATAAATGTTTTTTCAAAGCTAGTACTTTCATCATGTAAATACATAAAAAATACACTCTGACTGATAAGTGATCCACATATTACAATTACTTTAGCTTTAGAGTCTTTAATAACAGAGATATCACGTTTTTTAGCACGGTCTATATCAATGTCATCAGCAAACATATAAGACCCAATTGATATTGTATATTCCACACAAATACTGTTACTTTTCATGTACTTTATTAATATCTCTTTATCTTTGTGTCCGGCATCATCTTGTGATGCAATTATTCCAACCCACGTCCAGCTAAAATGTTTCATCAACTTAATAACAGCCATATAATGAACGTGGTCATTCTGAACTGTCCGGAATACATGAGGATAGAGAAGCCTGTTGGTTAGAGAATAGTCCGTAGCTCCATAACTGATCTATAGAACAGAAAAAGAGACATTATTACCAGTAGATCGCAGCCAAGTGACTGGTAGATGGTGGTCAGGGATTGCTGACCCCCCCATCCCAGAGCATCAAACAGAGTGCAATGCTACTTATAAAGCTGGATCTGTAGTAAGGAGCAAGAGCCGCATAAGCCGATGCCTCTATCATACACATATCATGGCTTCAACAAGTGCACTATAGGAATGAGATTTAGATTTGCCTGATGATGAATTTGCAATGATTTTCCAGGATTCAAATTCTCCTCAAACTGGTACATTTTGGGTAAAGTTTGCACTGGATGAAATTTGGCTTCCACCCATAATGCGCTCTGAACTAGGGATGCACCAATACCCTTTTTTTTTCAGCAAGTACACATTGTACTTGCCTGTACCGATTACCAATACTTTGTGGTGCGATTTGCGTCTATACAAAATGTATGGAAGCAAATTGTACTGCAAAGAATAGAATGCGATTCCTGTCCAAAATCACATGTGGTTTCCCCCATGGCTCCTGTGTGAATCCAGGCTTGTCATAGTCTGAGTTCATACAGAAGTAGTGCAGGGAGGTTTCCCGCAGCAGAGTGTGGGCATGTGGGGATATCTACTATGGTGGCAGATGCTCCATATTCTCAGTGGTGGGAGAGGAGAGGAAGTGGTGGGGATTTTGAAATTCACACCGCTTTCTCTCCTCTCTTTGCAGAGATAACAGTTCGAGCTAGAGGGTTTTTGATTGGTCAGCACCATCACATGGACAGTGCTATCCAGTCAGATGCTATCTAACCTACACTGTCATTGTGGCAAGGAGAGGAGAGAAAGCGGTGTAGATTTCAAATCCCCAGACCTGTGAAGTGGTTTTCTCTCCTCTACTTGCAGGAATGACAGTACAGACAAGACGGCATTTGATTGGTCAGCACCGTCCATGTGAGGATGCTGACCAATCAAAAGCCCTATAGCCCAAACTGTCATCCCTGCAAGGAGAGGAGGGAAAGCGGCAGGGATTTTAAATCCCCATCACTTCCTCTCCTACCACTGAGAATATAGAGCATCTGCTTCCATAGTCTATATCCACAATCGTCAACTCTTCTCTCAACATGGGATGCATGCAGGGAGGTTTCCCACATTGCTTCTGTGTGAACTCAAGCAATAAATAGCCTGGGTTCACACAGGAGCAGTGGGGAAACCACATGCGATTTTGACAGGAATCCTATTCCTGTTCAAATCAAAATTATAATCTTTGCGGTGCAATTTCTATTGACGCAAATTGCACCGCAAAGTATCCGTTTCCAGTATCAGGAGCATTTTCACGAGTATGATTACTCATGTATACTAAAGTGGTATTTTAGTGTTTTAAGTTTTTGGGGTATCATCATTTTTTTTGTGTTGACTTTGAATTTGGGGTCAAAAAAGCACATGCCTTTAATTTCCTGTCAATCTGCTCTGGTAGGTGCCTGTTGTTTAGAGAAAGATGCTTAATCAAATACAAAATGCAAAAAATACAAAAAGTGCAAAAGCAATGAACACAGCATGTTCTGCACTTTCATAGAATAGAACAGTCTAGGGGTGTCTTTTTGTTACTTTATTGAAGATTTAACCTTGAATGAGGTGAAGGGTGCATGGGATACCCCAAATTGCAGAACTTACCTCTTTTCTTCTCTCTTTCTCTCATTAAGCTGCACAAAAAGCCCCACATGACTTTGTACTTCTAACAGGTGACTAGGTCTCTTCTTTCCAAAAACGAAAACAAGAGCTACACAGAGTGACTAAGGCCCTGCACTCAAGTCGTTTACTCACAGGATCATTGGTCGCCTCCTTCCATTATCCACTAGGCACTTTTTAGTGAGGGAAACACTGACTCACACTATCACAGGACACCTGGACACTCTTTGTTTCAACTTCCTCCTGGTAATCTCCAGTGAAAGCCAAAATAACTCCAAGTCCAGACTTAGCAAATAGACCCCCAGCTTTAGCTCCACCTGGGACCTCAATGTCTTCTGAATAGCACCTCAAGCAATCCTGCCCAAGGGGCAGAGACCCTGCACAAGGGTCTCCTCCAGCAGGACTGGGCCCAGGGAGGCCTTACTCCTGCCCCATGCCTTAGACTATGTCAGGGCTCCGGTATGACCAGAGGTATGTGAACTGACGCAGGAAATGCAGGCTTCAGATATGTTATAAACAATATAATTTATTAATACTAACAATACAAAACGCAGTGCAATACTAAAACATAAACACAGTGCAAACGAACCAAACCACCCACAGATAACAATATATACAATGCAAGCGTAGTCAGGTAGGCCGGGTCAATAACAATCGGGCAGGTAGGAACAGGAGGAGCAGGCAGAGAGTAGTCAGGTCATGAGCTGGGTACAGCAACTAACGGGCAGGTAGGTACAGGGGGTCAGGCAGAGAATGGTCGGGGTCACAAGCCAGGGATCAAACAGAAGAAGTCAACAGAGGTCAGGATCAGGCAGGGTCGGCAACGAGTCAGTCAGGCAGGAACAGGAACAGAAACAGGAACAGGAACAGGAACAGGAACAGGAATGCATTTAACAAGATACAGGGGCCCATGGAAAAACACACACCAAGGCACAGACTGCAGGTCTGGCCATCCCTTAAATACACCTGCAATCAGCCTCAGGTGTTGGCTGACTGCAGGGTTGAGTCTCTGATTGCTGAGAGCACCCGCTGGCCAGCCCTGGTACTGCAGCCCACAAGGCAGGTGAGTCCCACCATTATTGGCAAGTTCATTCCTGACAGACTATTTATGGGTTCTCTCTCCAGCCACCTACTGGACACACCTCCCCAGGGATTAGCAGGATCACCATAAATATTCAGACTGCTCTCCTATCCTTCCTCCCACTATAATTAGAGAATCATCTAGAATACAGAGGAAAGCAATCATAGCAGCAGCTTGTGAAACACTGAGCAAGCCAGAATAATGACCCCCGCCTCCACTGATTACAGAAGAGCTATACTAAATTTTCCTAACATCCTGTACTAACTAGGAAGGTGCTACACTTGCAAAGACTTTGCTATTCTGGGCAGGGCCTCACAGTGAAACCTGTGAACAAGGGGGGAGGGGCATTTTATCAAGTAGGATGCAATCAGGGGGATGGGGGGTTTAATTAAAGACAGCATACTAAATATAATTGTCCTTTATACTTAACATCCGGAGGAGTTCCGTTCACAAAGCAGTTATTTTTACAATCATTTCAGTTGCATTGATTGAAATGCATGTTCTCATTGGCTTTATTTGATTAGAATTTTGCACATGATGGAAAGATAAAAGGCTTAGCATCTACCTGTGTATATCCATAGAGTCCCAGTATCTCTGCCATTGGAATTGTTGTCACTGAACAAAGATCTCCAATGAAACCCACCAGTTCAGCTTCTTTAGAACATGAATAATTAGGGACTGTCTTCCGTGGTCCAGATAAAATCCTTAGAACATTCCTGACAGCAAAACTAGGATGCAAATTTGAATCCAGCACATGAAATCCAAGTGAAATATTGGGCAAAATTGTTGGATTCTCATTAACATCACGTATAGCAGAAAGAAAAGCAAGAACATTTATAATTGTATCACTATCAAATCTGTAAAGAAAAATATATTTGTATTGAATAAGCATACATTTTACAATGGACTTACACCAACTGGCCTCTGATGGCCT